TCTTTCTCCCCCCCCCCCCCCCCAGTGCTGGGATTAAAGGCGTGTACCACCATGCCTGGCTTCTTAGTCTTATTTTTATCCAGAGAGGCTAAGTATTTCTCCAAGGTTACTGAGCTGATCAATTGTGGGGTTGGAGCTTGCCTATCCAAAAGGACTTTGAGGCCTTGTGTTTGTTGTTTGTTTTGGGTTTTTTTTTCTGTTTTGTTTTTTGAAACAGGGTCTCCCTGTAGTCCCAGCTGGCCTAGAATTTGCCATGTAGACCAGGCTGGCCTTGATCTCACAGAGATCCACCTGCCTTTGCCTTCTGAGTTCTGAGATTAAAGGCATATGCCACCATGCCTGACTGAGGACTAGTGTTTGTTTATTCAGTCTTCAAATATTAAATTACTATCAGGCATTTGGCAAACTCTGAGCTTGACTGAGAGACAGAACAGAGAACGAGCAGTTAGCTATGAAGTAGACTTCAAAGATCTCACAATCTTGTAGGGAGAGGGAAAGACTAAATTGAATCTTCTTTGAAGATAAGGCATTCACAAAACTTTTACAGAGGAGAAAAAAGGTTGAAGAAAATGAACCTTCAGTAAATGTTTTCTATAATTTGACTAGTTCAAGGTAGTGAGCAGCCACTAGGTGGCAATATATCCACGGGGAAACCAGTGCCTTTCCATAACAGGAAGTGAAAAGCAGAATAATTAACCTCTTGATACCCCATGTCTTCTGTGACTAGAAGTTGCTCCACTGTATGAAATGGAGACAAAAGCAGTTTGTAGTTACTGTGGCCAGTGGGGACTAGTGACCTCAGTCTGGAGCAGTGAGCACTTGCTTTCCCAGTTTTACAGGACTGAAGGTCCACCTGGGCTGGGCACTATTATTTCTTGACTATGCTACCCTCCAGTTTCTCTTCCAGACAGAAATATACGGATTCCTCTCTTTCCTTTCCTGCCTCCTAGATTAGAGAAAAGGCCACCATTATGACAGCCTCCTCAGCTTATTAAGTGAAGGCTGTCAAGCTGGAAAAGACCTCAGGAGCATCTCTCCCAACTTTCCCACTTCACAAGTTAATTGCTTAGGGTCAGAGCAGAAATTAACTCAGTGTTGATTCCTCTTCAGGGGACTGCCAGGGAATACCTATAAGGTTAAAGAACAGAATTCAGAAAAGGTAAGAGAATATTCAGAGAGATGGCTGTCATGGGGAAGAGACATAAAGTGACAATGAAGAGGATATTAAGAAAGACCAGGCAATAACTGGAGATGATAGTAATGGGGAGGGGCGCCTGGAGAGATGGCTCAGCAGTTAAGAGCACTGACTGCTCTTGCAGAGGACCTGGGTTCGATACCCAGCACCCACATGGCAGGTACGAACTGTCCTTAACTCCAGTTCCAGGGGAATCTGAAGCACTCTTCTGACCTCCATGGCATTGCACGACACGAGTACACTCACATATATGCAGGCAATACACTCATACACACAAAATAAAAATAATGAATTTTTAAAAAAAAACATGAAGAGGGGCCACAAAGAGGAAGAAGTAGCTGTCATAAATAAAGACCAGTGCAAATCATGATTCATAAAATGTCCTGTAGAACAGCAGTTTTTGTGTTTGTCTTACCAAGGTAGAAAGTCAAGTAGATCAATGAAAAACACAGAACAACAATAGTCAGTGTGTTGCTGAAAAGGTCAGTCAATACAATCCAAATGACTCTT